GGAGGAGATGGTACGATTGCGAATTGTCTCGCCACAGGCTGTTGAATTGGCAGTCAGTACCACATTAACAGCAAACGCAGCAGATCAAGGGCTGTTGCACTTTCTCGCTTTTTTGCTTCCTTTTTTCACACCTGTGTGCCGTGTAGCAGAACAGGGCCGAGAGAAGGTTGCAAACGAACAGGCCAAAAAAAAAAAAAAAAAAAAAAAAATTAGGGGAGGAGAGGGGAAAATCAAGAGGAGCAAAAATGAGATGAAGAACGAGGGCGCCGTTCGGAGAAGGCAAAACGAAGGATGGGCCGACGAGATTCCTTCGGGGAAGGAAATGGGGTGGAATACCTGATCTGGGAGCTGGGAGAGCGGAGTGTGGGGGAAGCGAGTCAGGCGAGGCTCCAGAGCCGGGGCTCCAGTCAGGGACGCGTCTGGAGTAAGGGGCCGGGGCCAAAGGAGGGGGGAAAGAGGGAAGAGGAGAAGCGACGGCTGAGCCGGGGGAGAGACGAATGTAATAAAGGCGCGAAAAAGAAACGAGGCGTGGTGAAGACAGACGGAATCGTGGAGCAACCTCGAATTGCGGAGAGGCCCGACAGCGAGAGAGTCCGGAGATGACACTAACAGGACGAGCAAATGAAGCCAAACCGAGCGGCCGGAGCGTGAAGGGTGGAGCCCACTTTCCGAGTGCCGAGAATGTGATTTCGCACCAGAGGGAAACAGAATAAAATACGCCGCCGTCAGGGCCGCCAGCCCGCCCGCCAGCCGTCAGATGCTCTGCATTCCGTCGGAGCCAGTTCCTTTCCCGGCCTGTTACTTGAGTCTGGGAATCTCCCCAACCCTGCCCGCTGGGACTTAATATGCACACTCCAGCGTCATGACCGGCCCAGTCTTGCTTTCATCCACGCATCCAACGCTACTAATTGCTGCCATTCCCTGCAACAGACCCGAGACGGACCGAAGAAGCCGGCTACCAGCAGCCGTGTGGAACGTCACTTGACAAGGGCGAATTCATTACATAACGGTTCCTTGGTTGGAGACTGGCAGCAAAGTAAGCTTTACATTTACAGCCTGCAGTGCAGTTAGTCGACGGTCCCCGATCGTGGAAACTGCAGGAAACAGGCTGCGATTCTTCATCATTATTCATTGCAGCTGCACCCCGCGGGGAAGACCCCATGCCCAACTCAGTCCTCCCCAGCTCGACGAAATACGAGGCAAGGTTGGACAGGGATTGATTCCCGATCGACACGGCATCGACTGTTTGGTTTGCCCGACACACCGCACCACGGCGCCTGGAAATTTCAGATGACCTTCCCTGTCGGGGAGCCCGGCCTTCTCCAAGACGCCAGCAGTGGGCCAGCGCTTCAAGGTGTTGTGCGTGGGAAAAGCGAAAACCCACAAGCCGACCGCGACCGACTGATCGGAATTCAATTTTGCGCTGGACAGCCGGCAACGGAAGTTCCCCGCGCATTTTAACCGGTCCCGAGGCACAATCCGACAGTCAGGCAGTCCAGTCCCAGACAGTCCCAGTCTCCAGTCTCCAGGCAGCTGACCCCGCAAGTAATATCTGGCCTGCTATAGGAGGAGAATCTGCCTGGCCCCAGTCTCGCGACCAGCGCTGGAACCGTTGCACTCCCAGCACGCGCGCACTCGCTCGGGCTTTCCCGGGGAATACCCGATGCTCTCGAATTGGCAATTGTTGCCGCTCTCTCAATGATATATGGATCTAGAAAGGAAGGTAGAGGAGTAAGGGTTCTTGCAAGGTAAAAAGGATGTAAACGAACATTACTACGAGGTAAGACAGTATTCTCGTCGGCACGGCTCCATGCAGAGCCGACATGGCACAGGCTCTGGTGCTCCAGTCACAGTTTCAAGTCACCACAGACCAGCGCATCCTGTCGGGAGACGTAGGACTGGAGGCTGCCCGATATGACCGGCCGAAAAGATGAGAATGTGATTCCGGCAAAGGATGTGCATGCTGGCACTGGCACCTGCCCCTGCATTCCCCGGCTTCTTCTCGCTCGACTCCCCTGGTTGGCTGCTGGGATCCTGTTCTCGTCCCTGAAGGCAAGTTAAATCGTTTAAAAATACTAAGCGACTCATTGAATCCCGATGCTACGCCACCACCCAATTCCCGCCTGTGGAGGGATGTCCGGGGGGGAGAACCATTCACGGTTCAGCGAGCAGGCGAAAATCTGGGGCACACTAACCCCCAACTGTGGCCACGAGAATGCCCAGGTCGGCCCAATGCTACCTTGGCAGCGACCTCGCCCGTCGCTAGGCGAGACGAATCATACCAGTCTCGCCTTTCTTCCCGTGCCAACCGCGGACGGTCCAAAAGTCCTCGGATGTGCGAGCTGATCCCCTCTTTACTCAACGTCCATGCTCACTCCGGGAGTATTGGCCTATAGGCGGCATCTTATTGTGTGAGACTTCTTCGGCCATCCAATGACGGTAGATGCTGCAATGAAACAGAGTTCCGTGTCAGAAGCAATCTGTCAGGATGAGCACGGCCTCAATCTGAGCAGTGCACGGTCTGGGTTCCCCATGACGGAAACAGGCGGCTATTGCACGTGAAGTGAGATATCGTGGTCATGTTTATGATGACGATGCTAAGGGTTCGCGGAAAGGTGGACAGGTCTCTCCGCGCTGCCGACTACTAACCGACACTCTGTACCATTGGAGCGATTGAATCTCTCACCCAAAGTCAGACCTGCGCGCCAGATTCCGCACCTTCTTCCGGCGATTCGTATAATGCCCTGTCATGGATGCCTTTACCAGCCTCCGTTATATATGTTCCCCGATCACATTGCAGGAAGAACACCATAACATCAATAAATAGACGGTATAGCATTGGTCTCACTCCCATCGGAGAATATCCAAAATATCCCATTGTATCCCCAGACCGCCGCGTGATCCAGCACTTGAAGCTGGCGTGGTTGAGGTATTGTCAACCCCCACGGTGCTTGGGCCTGCAACGTCAGCCAGTCAATATGGCGGTGGAAGGCAGGTGCTTTGCAGGCTAGCAGCTAGCTTTCCCCGGGAAATCCATCTTCAGCTAGATTCTCCAACATTTCCGATCCGGTAATTTTCGCGTGTGCCAATTGGGCTTTGCGCGGCCCTTGCCTTCGATACCCGACCCCAGTGCTACGGCATGTAGTGGGTTTCATCGACTTTGAATTGCCGGCCGGGTTGGAGCTGGTTGAAATGAAAGCTGGATGGAACAACACCGCCGAGGGACAGGCGCTTTTCCGACCCGGAATCTGATTCGCGGAGCCACCGTTCTCGAAATTGGAGGCATGGAAATTAACCTGAACCCAAGGTAGCCCTAACCTCCCAGAGCAAGGCATCGGCACAGCTCCGTCTAATCTTGACAGGTATAAAAAAGCGCGGTCTTTCCTCCGTCCGGGTCCTGAACATTTATCCGAATAGAGTCGATTGTTCTCACCCCGGCGCCTGCTCCACTCGGGGGAGATCCCGTCGGAGAAGTTGAACGTGCGGAGACGGACGTTTACGTATTGGTTTGGCCATGCTGTTTCGCCGTTTCGCCGTTTCGCTGAATTGCCTTGTGCCCAGGCTTTACTAGGACAAGACTGGACTTGGACCTTTGGACTGGCTTTGCCTGCCTGGTTTTTGCGCGGTTGAAGCAACTCGGGTATTGAATTGGGGGGTTGGACTTTGGTGAGAGTGCTGTCGGCTGTTAACTTGAGTCTTACTTCAGCCGCTCGCCTCAGGAATCAACAGACGAAGGACTAACCTGGGGAAGTATACTAACTTGGAGGGATTGATTTCCTTTCTTACAACTTGGTGAACCGGAAGTGCTTTTCTCGGATATGAGTATAAGCTTTAATTGGCATTGTTCCAAGTAATCTCACGGCCAGCCCTTTCTACGCTCCTTTCCCATTCAATATAGTACAATAGTACAATTATAACAATACGACCAATAAGCACCATTTATCAACCCGCGACCTATTCCTTCGCATCCTCCTTCAACCTCACAATCCGATCGAAAACAATTTGAAAAAGCCTTCTCCGAATATAGAGCCACAGCTGCAAAGAACCCGTCTAATTGACACTTGGGACTTGGGACTTAGATGTCTAAAGAAGGGCGTCCATCTGTCGACATTGCCCATCCTGGTGAAGGGGCGGTTCTTCACCTGCTCCATCGATGTCAAAGCGGCAAGGTTGACATTCGTCCACCGTTTGTATAGTAAATGAAGTATTCACTAGAGTAACACAAGGAAGGCTCGCTCGTTGCTAGCGTAGCAATGGAATGGCATAAATGGGTCTTACATGGCTGTATTTGTCTTTTCTGTATTGATCTTGTAGAGAGTTCTCCCCACCATTCACTTAGGTCGAACTGTATGGCGGACTGGATCAGAGTCAATCGTGCTTTTGTTTGGACCCTGAGGAATACGCAGGGAGGTCTGAATGTAGGCTTTTTCCAATTTAATTTACTTGCTTGGTTTACCCAAGCTGCTCGTTTGGCATTATAGATTGTTGGCGCTGGATATATATATATATATAGTACTTTGACAGTCTGAGCCGTTGGCTGGGCCAACATGGAAGAGCCAGGCCCTAACCGGGAGAAATAACTAATATTGCCAAGCCCACTATTTGTTTCTCGACGTAGATAATTTAACCGATAATATAGGAAGCTTGGAACTGTGTTGCCCCCACGTTATTCGTCCATCGAAGCCTACCCCCGTCAGCGCGTAGAGCACTACTATTAGATTGCTTGACTCATGTCTTGCGGACACGGCGGCTACTCTATAACAGAGCCACATATATAATATAATCACGTATAGGCGTATGAGAATAGAAATAAATATTAAAAACAATACACGTGTCAATTTCGATACTGAAAGGAAACAAATAGCCAGCGTATGGTGCGGTCGATAAGCGAATGTGTCTCATGCGCCCGTGTTTAGTGGGTTGGAATTGCTCGGATAGAACCTGCACACGTTCACATTAACAGCGTTCCGGTGGGAACCCATTCGTTAGGGAGATTGTACTTACCAGGCGGCCACAGAGATTATCACGTACATCATCATCAACATGACGCCTTCGAGCCAATGCGATTTGCCGTCTCCGATGAGGTAGTTTACCTGTGACAATTAGCAAGGGTGGGCTTGAGACGTGGGACGATCGACATACCAAGAGTACGGATACAAAGAGCAGGATCACTTGGAATGCATCAAAGTAGAGTGTCTGATCAGGTTAGTAGGGATACAGAAAGTGAGTGTCGCGCGGAACACACCATATCATCATTTCCTACACTTGTTAGCTTAGTCTGCGTGACAAGAGTGTGGTAGACTTACCCATAATCCAGCCGATCACGACAATGAGCGGAAGCACCAACAATGCAATCTGCATACTCGATCCCACTGCAACTCCAATGGCCAAGTCCATCTTATCCTTGATCGCCACGGTCACTGCTGTGGCGTGCTCGGCCGCATTGCCTACAATCGGGAGCAAAATTAACCCGACAAATGTTTTGGAGACGCCACCACGTTCGGTCAGCGCGTCGATTGAGTTCACCTATCCACATTAGCCAATATATTTACAGCCACTATTCACGACGGGGTAGGCACCATGTATTCAGCACACAAGGCGACAAACGCCGTAGAGATGGCCAGTGTTAGAACAGCAACCCAGATATGAAGCTGGGGTTCCTCCTCCGCGTCATCGGGGTTCTGAAAAGACGGCTTGTCCGAGCCTGCCAAAGCCGCCGACATATGACCGATCTGGGCAATGCCTCTGCTGGCATCACCCACTGATACCTTCTGTCGTATCTTCTCGGCCTTCTGGCTTGGGGCGTTGTAGATCTCCGTGTGTGACTTGAGCTGGAAGTAGAGGTAGCATCCGTAGATGATCAGCATGATCACACTGGTGCCTAATGCGGGTGAGAATAGCTCTATAGTTGATGGTCCTGGAAGCTTACCTCTGGACAGTGGTACGACTTTTGTTTCATCGTCCGCTCCAGACCAGGCATGGAATGCCGTGGGAATGATTAAGCACCCTACAGCCAGAGAAAGAAGACTGGCTGCCGTTTGCGCGACCACTGGGTTGAAGTGTTGCTCCAGGCGGTTGAGACCACCGAAGAAAAAGCACATGCCCATGACCAAGAGGAGGTTGGACAGCATACTGCCGATCAGGGATGTCTGCACAATGAGCACCTCATCATCGATCAAGGCAATGATGGCGACAATTAACTCGACGGCATTTCTGTAAATGTTAGCGCAAGCCAACAAACCGAATGGGGATCCTCGTACCCGAAAGTCGCATTGAGTAAACCGCCAATTGTTTCTCCGGTACTGCATTCTATTAGTGCCATACCATATATCCAGTCGAGGTTACATACCGTAGTGCAATCTCCTCCGTCGCAAAACTAAGCATGGCAGCTAACGGGCTGTTCGGGTCAGATTTGATCCATTTCATTACAGCCAGAAACATACATGATGGCAATAAAGTTGACCACGAAAACAGCCACTGGGTCGACTTTGACATAGTTCAGCGCAACTACCAACTGTTAGCAATGTACTGCCCGAAACGGTGATTGACTTACTTCCAACCGGAGCAGCAAGAAGAAGGATATTGATCCATGAATTCAAAACAGTTGCCTTGAATTGTCCCACAGCGGTGAATCTCTGTTTATCTGGCTCATCCTCCGGGGGTTCTCTATCATCTCCGTCCGAATGATTTGCCATCCCCAGAAATTTTCGCTTCCGAGGTTTTCCGTCTGATTCGATGCCGTCGTGGCCACGGGGTGTAACGTTGATCGGCGTATTGCTGCTCATTGACGGATCGGGTTTGTCCATACTGTTAGTTCGAGCCGTAGAGCCTGCAGTCATCCCTGTTGGTGGTGGGTATGTATCTGGATGGATGGGACCACCTAGCCCTTCTCTTAATTCCCTGTTGCGCCGTTGTTCATCCGCAAGGCTCTCTGCATCAGCAGTGCGAGCTGGTGCTAACCGACTCTCAAGTTGAATCGAATTTGACCGTCGGGGGCTTCTCCGGAATTTCTTGAACGGATTGTGTATCGTGGGCTCTCCATCCTGGTCATACCATGCCAGATTCCTGGCTGCACTTTTGTACCGATCTACCAGCGAGATCAGAAAGGGGGAAGATCAGAAAAGGGGGCACTGAATCAGACGGGTGGAAGTTGCTCACGCATGCCGTTAAGCGAATATCGGGTTCGCGATTATGTGATGTATCTGTTCAATATCTTAGAGCAGGGCTTTTCGTGTATATTGTATATATGTTGTACGATCGTAAGCCACAGCGTGTGGGTAACCCCGCGCCACGACAGTGAGCATCTTGGGCCGACAAGGGAGGTATCGGGCGAATAACGGGCTGGAGGCATACTTACAGCCTGACTCGAAGCAGCCTATGATGGAGACTGTGTGGCTGAGCGACCCTCGGCTGAAGGTATGTTGCAGATTGTTTCTGCCTGGAGTGGATGAAGATGAGGCTGGTGGTTGGACCGTCGATGGCGGACTGGACGACCAAAACAGAGGAAAATGAGGGTCGGGAAAGAAACCAAGCGTCTTCCGGTAGAAGTGGCCAAAAGAAAGTCGGTGGAAGAAAGCCAAATGAAGGTAAAAGAGCGACAAACAGCGAAATTGGAGGAAAAACGCGACACAGATCCAAGATCTCAAAGTCTGCAGCTGCACGAAGATCAGTTTCGCAGAGAATTAGAGCCACCGCTAAGCGTCCATGGCAACTCTTGTGTCTCTTGGCACACCCTGTCAACAATTCGAAAGCTTGGGGCCTTCATTCGATCCGGGTTCTTCGCGTTGACTGGCTCCTTGGACCCCCTGATCCATTTCATCGCAGGACCGTCGTCGCTATTGTAGACATATGATTGGCCATGGAGTGTGGCGATGCAGCCCCTTTCCTCGAGCAACCATTGATGATATAACATGCCATCTCCATATCCCTTGATGAAGCCATGAAGGCACAAACACGTAAAATATTTCTCCATGCAGGAAGGAGGCGATTTCCACGCATACTCGAAGCTATTCAGCTTGAGATTGGTGGTAAGAATAGCGGTCAGGATGGAAGTGTTCTCAGCTGCGTGTTGACGTTGACAGTCTGTGCGGTTGAAGGAAAAGTGCCAATAAGTAAGATATGATTAGAATACCCGTTAGGACACCTTGTATACACGACGTTGTAAACAATGTTTCTGAAGGCTGAGCAGTGAGCAGCATTAGCCATTGATGTTTCTATCCGAGCGGAGCGTTGATGAACAGTGGCCTCGCTCAAGCAACGACAAGCAATTATTGGCAGAGAGATAAGACATCACCAAGTTCTGGGCATGGTAAAATACCCGTATTTATGGTACGATTACGGTACTTATGGTATATGTGCAACAGGGGTCGCTCATCTGGCCAACGAGGGTCCAATCCAAGGGACCTAGTTTCAGATTCTGGCCGACTATTCTTAGCCGGGCGCCTGACCACAACTTGGACACTCCCCTGCCAGGCTTTTCCAGGAATCCAGGCTACACAAATACGCGTAATGATGCATCGCCAGAGGTAGGTGATATCCTTCAAGTGTGCTCAGCACGTAAAATTCCCTTGGAGCTGGATAATATAAGGGTCCCCTATTTTCCCTGAATTTTCAGGGACCGGACCCTCAGGGACGGGCTCCGTGATACCCGGTTAATGAAGGACAAACGGACCCAAGGAACACCAATGTGCATTCATATTGCGTTCACTGTGCGAGACGACGGAATAATACCGTAATTACAGAGGCCGTACGACCCACTCCTCTCTCGACTCCTTTATCCCCATCCAAAACCCTTCTGACTTGTTCTTCTTCCTCCCTCTTGCCTCTTCTTTTTCTGCGCATTCTTCTTCATCAGTCGGCTACGTATGCTTGCCGTCAGTCACTCGTTGTCTTCGATTATTTATTGCTGAGCTTTTGCCTGCCCTCGTTCAGGAACGGTTGAACATCCCCAACGATCTTCGTGATCAACCACTGATTTACCGATCGTCTTTTCTCGACACTCATTCTCCAGTTTTTCTCTTCTCTCTGTACAATGAAATTCTCTCTCGCCATTGCTGGCGCGTCTCTCGCCGGCAGCGCCCTGGCGGCCCAGCTACCCGAGATCGTTACCAAGGTGAGCCAACGCACGGTCGCATTGATCCCTGGACCCTGAGGCCATTTTGCTGACGACGACGATAGGGCAACAAATTCTTCAACTCCAAGAGCGGCGATGAGTTCTTTATTCGCGGTGTTGCCTACCAGCAGGAGTACGCATCCAACGGCTCGACCACGAGCAACTCACACTACACTGACCCCATCTCCGATGACTCGAACTGCGAGCGCGATATCCCCTACCTGAAGAAGCTGAACACCAACGTCATCCGAACCTATGCGGTGGACCCTTCTAAGAGCCACGACCGTTGCATGGGTCTGCTGGCAGATGCTGGCATCTACCTGATCACTGATCTGTCCTCTCCTGGCGACTCGATCAACCGGGCCGACCCCAGCTGGAACGTCGATCTTTACAACCGCTACACTAGTGTGGTTGATGCCTTTGCGAACTACACTAATGTCATTGGTTTCTTCGCTGGTAATGAGGTCGCAAACAACAAAACCACCACCAACTCGATCGCGTTCGTCAAGGCCGCCGTGCGTGATATGAAGGCTTATATCAAGAAGAACCACCGTGAATCTCTGGCTGTTGGTTACGCTACCGATGACAATGCCGATCTTCGTGAAGACATGAAGGACTACCTGATCTGCGGTGATGAGGAGAGCCGCATTGACATGTTCGGATACAACATCTACGAATGGTGTGGTGACTCGAGCTTCCAGAAGTCCGGATATAAAGCACGCACTGAGGAATTCTCCGACTACCCCGTTCCTGCTTTCTTCTCCGAATATGGCTGCATTGACCCTAAGCCCCGCAAGTTCAGCGATGTGCCCACCCTGTTCGGCCCTCAGATGAACGACGTGTGGAGCGGTGGTATTGTGTACATGTACTTCCAGGAGGTCAACGACTATGGCCTGGTCAGCGTTGACGGCGACGATGTCAAGACCAAGGATGACTTCTCTTACCTCTCTTCTCAGATGCAGAAGGTCACCGCTACCGGTGTCAAGAGCGATTCCTACACCCCTAAGAACACTGCTGTCCCCAAGTGCCCTGCCACCAACAAGGACTGGGAGGCCAGCTCCAATCTTCCTCCTTCCCCTAACGCCAACCTTTGCTCGTGCATGGAGAAGACTCTGACCTGCAAGGTGAAGAAGGATGTCGAGGAGAAGGAGTATGGTGAGATCTTCGGCTACATTTGCGGTCTTGAGAAGGGCAAGTACTGCGCTGGTCAACAGGCCGACGCCATCGAGGGCAAGTACGGAGCCTACAGCGTCTGCAGCACCAAGCAGCAGCTTTCCTTCGTTATGAGCCAGTACTACAACTCGCAGAACAGCGACGATGCTTGCGACTTTGATGGCCGCGCCGAAACCGTGGATTCGTCCGACGCCAGCGACAGCTGCAAGGACCTGCTTGACCAGGCCGGCGACGATGGTACTGGCAATGTTGACACCCCCGAGGGCGGTGTTGGAGGCGACGCTGGCGAAGACTCTTCTTCGTCTAGCGAGACCTCTGACGGTGCTGCCGGACTTGGCCCCAGGCCCTCGGCTGTTTATGTTGGTAACTGGCAATTGGGTGCCTACATCATGACTAGCGTTGTTGCTGGACTTGGTATGATTCTGCTCTAGGGCCGATTCGTTTTTGGTAGGGGCTTGTAGTTTTGTTGGTTCCTGTATTCATTCAACATTCTAGTACATAAATAGTCAATTCTATTTGATTTTGTTTATTCTGGTTTCTTGAGTTCTATTTCACTTGTATGGTAGTTCGGCAAGGGATACCGAGACTCGGTGTCGTCCACCGTGGCCGTGATAAAAAACCTGCAAGCAGGCTCGGCGACTAGACCGGCTTGCCGAAGACGGAGAAGAATCCGATGTCTCTGCGACAATGCCCAATGGTTATATAAAAGAATGCAGACCAGTCCTCTTTTTTTCAATAATAATCACATCCTCCCAACTGCGCCTCCGTTACTGCAACAATGGACGCAGACCCTGAAAAGACCGCTGTTGAATCCTCGGCCGCGTCGCCCGGAACCACCACCCCGCGTCTCCAGAAAACACCAACACACCCACACTCGCCAGGCTTCGATCTGCCCACATGGCGCAAGTCGATCATCCTCTTTGTTGTCTCATGGATGACCCTCGCCGTCACGTTCTCCAGCACCTCGCTGCTCCCCGCGACGCCCGAAATCGCAGAAGAGTTCGATACCACCGCGGAGACGCTGAACATCACCAATGCCGGCGTCTTGCTCGCAATGGGGTTCTCGACGCTTCTTTGGGGGCCCCTTACTATCATTTTGGGGAGGAGGGTGAGCTATAATATTGCTGTTGCGGTGTTGGTGGGCTGCAGCGTGGGGACGGCGGGGAGTAGAAGTATGGGTATGTTCACGGCGTTTCGGGTGCTTGGGGGCTTCACCGGCACGAGTTTCATGGTTAGTGGGCAGACGGTCCTAGCGGATATCTTTGAGCCGGTATGTTTCGTTCCTCTCGTTTTTATGGTCAGTTTAGGGCCTTTTGTTGACAATCTGCAGGAGGTGCGAGGAACAGCTGTTGGGTTCTTCATGTTGGGCTCTGTGACGGGGCCTGCAATTGGTATTTGCCCATTCCCTTATTATTCTTCGCAGTATAAAATTCTATTTTCCATGTGGATAGAGTGCTGATAGAATATAGGCCCCTGCATTGGCGGTGTCATCGTCACCTTCGCTAGCTGGCGATACATCTACTGGCTCCAAACAGCCATGGCCGGATTCGGACTCGTGCTCTCCCTGATCTTCGTCCCAGAGGTCCAACAAGAGACCGACGGATCAGATATCGAGAAAGAGAAGAAGAAGATCACCCTGGGATACATCCTATGTGTCTTCAACCCAGCCCGCGTCTTCAGGCTCTGGCTGTACCCGAATATCCTTTTCTCGGTACGCTCTAAACCTCTTTTCATCGAAAGTATGGATGGATGGATGGATGATGGGTATTGACTCTACCAGTTCATAACCTGTGGTCTCCTGGCCACATACCTCTACGCCCTCCTCTCCTCCGCCCGTACGATCTTCAACCCGCGCTTCAACTTGACCTCCGCGCTCG